TCTTCTTCTTAGCTTTATCAGCAGCATTATGATTTTGCATGAGTCTCATTATCATTCGTAGTGGTAGTATATCAGTCTTCTTATGTGTATGATTCCTCGTCGTGTTAATCGTGCATGTCATTCGTCTTACTGTTGGTCTTCTCTGGTCAGGGCGTGGACGACTAACCCGCCCTGCAGGAAGACGGTGCAGAGCAGAAGCTGCAGGGCTAGGGATTCTGATCCTGGAGGAAGAGGACGACGACAACGACGAAGGAGATGGGCGATGAACCGTCAGCAACAAGAGAAAAAAAAGGTCACGAAGACCCGGTGGCTGTGCGTACTGGCCGAGAAGTCGGAGGCCTCCGCGCAGGCCAGCTCGTACGTGAGGTTTTGCAGCCACAGCCCGTCGCCGCCGCCAGACATCCTTCGAGGAAAGAACCACGATGACCATGACCGGGATTGCGTATGGCCATGAGCACGATGACCATGAGCAGGATGACCATGACCACGATGACCATGACCACGATGACCACGATGACCATGAGCACGATGACCATGAGCACGATGACCACGATGACCATGATGACCATGAGCACGATGACCATGAGCACGATGACCACTATGGCCCGGGCGACCATGACCACGATGACCATGAGCACGATGACCAGGATGTCGCCGGATGTTGCGGTCGGGAACGGTTGCGCATCGGGGGCGACGGTGGGGGCAGATGGCCCCGGGGGGAGCAAGACACGTACTCCAGATTTCGTAATAAAGGGAGGGGGGTCTCATTTCGGGGGGGCTCTTTTCCAGGCTATCTTGGAGGGCCCGGGGGGGGTTGGGGGACGATGTTTTGGAGGGTTCTCCCACGGGGGGGGCCTATGAAACTCCTCGCCTGGGAGGGTCGAGACCCCCTCCCTTTTATCACGAAATCTGGAGTATCCCATGGCGCCGACTGTCGCCGTCTTCGCGAGGCTCCCCGGCGAGCACGGAGGAGGAGGAGGAGGAGAGGAGGAGGAGGAGGAGGAGGAGGAGGAGGAGGAGAGGAGGAGAGGAGGAGGAGGAGGGAGAGGAGGAGGAGGAGGAGGAGGGGGGAGGAGAGGAGGATGCCCGCCCCATGGGCTGCCCGGCCCCGGCCGTCGCCCCCGAGCAGCGCCCCGCGATGCCGCGGCGGGCGCCCCCGGGCGACACGCAGGCGCCCCGCGGGCGGGGATGGCGTGCCGATCTCCGCGCCGCGGGGCGGGGGGCTCGGCGAACCCACAACACACACCCTCCTCCTCCTCCTCCTCCTCCTCCTCCTCCTCCTCCTCTCTCCTCCTCCTCCTCCTCCTCCTCCTCCTCCTTCCTCCTCCTCCCATCACAAACCACTGAAGGGGCCCCAGGACACACACATAAATACACACAGATAAAAAGATTCCCCATATGTTCCGATATTTTTGGGGTTGTTGTCTTCCCCCCCACTTCCCATAGTTTCCCACATTTTCTGGGAAATCGAAGATTAATTGTGTCTGTGTGTTTCTTTTCCTCCTGACACACACACCCATACGTCAGGTTCGCATCGTGTCGACCCCGGCGTTGGTATCTGACACCGCGGGGATCGTTCAACCTTGAACGATCGGCCGTCTCCGGAACGTCCAAAAATCGTTCCACACCGAACGATTCTGGGTCGCCCGCGGCGTTCAAAGTTGAACGCCGCTTGCGGGGTCGCCGCCGGTCGACACGACACGAACCTACCGTAGGGGGATCGGAGAGGGCTATGGGTGCGTGTTGTCGGACGGGGGTCCCCGCTCGAGCGGGAGCGTTCCCCAGGGTCCGACAACCCGCACCCATACCCATAGCCGGTCCTCCTCCCAACGACCCCCCTATGGGTATAGGTGCGTGTTGTCCGTTCGTCGAGGCTGGGGAAGGCTCGGGGCGGTGACGCCCTGGGGGCCAGGACGCGGGTAGCGTCTCGAGCCGACGCGACACGCTGAGCTGAAGTTCCTTGCCGCATCGACAGCGACGTCTGGTCACGGTCCGTGCCCGCCGCCGCGGATGCGCGAGGATGATCCACGCACTGGCGATGGCCAGGATGGGCGGTGGCCAAGATCGGCACCGACACTTCCGCGCTCAGTCCTGAATCCTCGAATCCTCGACGACCTCGACGATCTCGACGACGAAGACGACGAGGACGACGACGACGACGACGACGACGACGTCGTCGTGTCGTCCCCTCGACGCCTCGCGGCGGCGACCGTCGGGCCGCCCACGATGGTGTACAGCGCCGCCAGCCCGTAGAAGTCGAGCTCCCGGAGGAGCTCCAGGCGGTCCACGCGCGGCAGGCCCAGGGGCACGGAGCCGTCGCGCAGGTAGTTCAGTACGTGGTGCTGGGCATGTTTTCCACCACCACCACCATAAGCTAGAGGGGGGGGAGGAGGAGGACGAACAGGAGGAGGAGGGGGAAGACGAAGAGGAGGAGCAGGAGGAGGAGGAGGAGGACCCCCTCCCCCTCCAACCTATGGTGGTGGTGGTGGAAAACACACCCATCATGTGGTGGAAGTGGCGGCCGTCTCGGTCGATGACGAACGAGCCGTCCTCGTCGCGCAGCACCTGGGCAAAAAAGAGAGCACCGATGCCACTGCCCGTCGCCTGGTCGTCGCACTGTCTCGGGGCATCCTGGGAGGCCCTCGTCGCCACGGCTCTGGCTTCGCCTCGAGATCCTGCGCAGGTCGCGCCCTGGGATACGTCTGGGGAGTAGCGGTATCGGGAGGAGGAGGAGGAGGAGGAGGAGGAGGGGGAGGAGGAGGAGGAGGAGGGGGAGGAGGGGGGGAGGAGGAGGAGGAGGAGGAGGAGGAGGAGGAGGAGGAGGAGGGGGAGGTGTTCGTTGGTTTCCCCAGCACTGGGTGTTCTCCCGAGAACATGCGCCCGAGCATCGAGTGGGGGTCCGACTGCAGCGTGCCCAGGGTGCACATGAACCGGGAGCCACCCACGTTGAGGTGCACAATGGCAGGCAGGTCGTTCACGATACTGGCTCCTCACAAGCCCCCACGTTAGATGCTCATTCTGGGGACCTTCCTGGAGCCACTCGCTCCACTCGTGCGTCGAACCTGAGTCGAACCTGAGTCGATCCTGAGTCGAATCTGAGTCGAATGAGTCGAACTTGAGTCGAACCTGAGTCGAACAGATCCATCAGGTGGGCCCCAGGAAGGTCCCCAAAACGAGCATCGAACCCACGGGTCCCAGGCACAGCATTGAGCGATGCGGGGTGGCGATCGAGGACGAACGCGCAAGACGCGAGAATTGGCCTTGCGGCAACGAGAAGGAGCAGGCGATGAGGTGGACAGGGCGAAAGAGGCTGAAAGGTGGGCGGCGTCGACGTCCTGGGATGTCATTTCCTTCGCTCATTCCCGCCTTGACGCGCTGCATACTGCCTCCGTCTTTCCCTGAATCATTCACTCCATATCCCTGTTATCTTCCATCCCACGCTCTTTTTTCCGTCGCGCCAGCATCAAGCCGTTTTTGCTTTCGCCGCCTTTTCCTCATCCTCATCATAATCCGCCTCCTTCCTCCTTCCCCTCCCCCACTTACTCGTCCTCATCCTCCTACTCCTCCTCATTATCATCACCATCATCGCGATCATCATCATCATCATCATCATCATCATCATCATCATCATCATCATCATCATCATCAGCAGCAGCAGCAGCAGCATCAGCATCAGCATCATCATCATCATCATCATCATTATCATCATCACCATCATCCTTTCCAACAACACTATAAACATTATGATAACCATCATCACCCTATGTCACAAACTACATTAACCCCATCATCACCACCACCACCAGTAGCATCATCATCAGCAGTACCACCACCGCCGTCAAAATCATCATCATCGTCATAGCAGCAGTAGCATCCTCATCATCATCAGTAGTATCACCACTGCTCAACATGATGACCCCCACCATCATCATCGCCATCGTCGTCATCGTCATCATCATCACCACAACCGTTATCAGCATCACCATCGTCGTCATCGACAACAACATAGCCTTAGCATCATGGACATAGCCATCGTCGTCATCGTCATCATCAGCATCACCATTACCAACTGCATCATCATCAACAACATCAGCATGATCGTCATCACCATCGTCATGAGCATCATCAGCATTACCCATCACATCATCACCGTCGTCAAAATCATTATCAGCAACACCACAATCATCATCACCCCACTCCCCATCGCCATCCGCATCATGATTATGATCATCACCATCATAATCATCCCCATCATCGGCTCCATGATTCCCCGGGCCCGCACTGCCTGGCTGGGCTCACTCCCCAGTTACCAGGGGCCGTCACACCCGCGCGGCGGAGGGCAAACACAACAGGGTGTGTCGGACCATCAGGCAGCCGTTGCGTCTCCAACGCGCTGTTGCGGCTCCCCGCCAGAGCCCACGGGATCGGGTGATCATGTGTATTCACACCACTGCAAAAGCACATCATAATCGTCTTGCTGCACCGGATCAGGTCCTTGTGCAACGGCAGTGCAAGAGTTCACGTCCCTCTACATGGGCGCCCCTCGCATGCTGGCGGCCCGTCGCCGGGCAGCCCACGGGCTGGGCCTGTTCATCTGGTGCCCTTCGTCCTCGTCCTCTTCCGCGAGTCCACTGGGGTATGCTATTGGCGGCGTGCTTGCTGCTGCGAGCGTTTCCGGCGCCGCTGGCGCCGCCGCTTCGACCTTCGCTGCCAACGCCCCCTGGGCGGTCGGCGCGGGCTGGGCCGCTCGCCCTCTCGCCCCCGCGGGCGCCCCAGGCGCTGCCGACGCCCGCGGGCACGTCGGCGCGGCCTGAGTGCGCCGCCCTGCTGGCGCCGCCAACGCGGCCGGCGCCCCCTTTGCCGCCGCTGCCAGCGCCGCCGACGCCCCGTGGGCGGTTCCTTCACCAGCATGAGCCAATGTGAGCCACCCACGCCGCCGCCCTGGGGGGGGGCCTCCGCGCTGGCCAGCGGACAGCGCGGCCGCCCCACCGCCCAACTGGCGGGCCCCCGCCGCCCCTCCCACGAGCCCACACCCTGGAGCGGCGAGCATCCCGCCCGTGGCGCCCTGCCCTGCTGGCCCACCGCCCACGTGCCTCATTGCCCCTGCGCTCATCGCGATCGCCGCCCGCCCCGCCCAATTGGCGGTTCCCTGCCCGTCACTGCCCGCCCTGCCGGCCGACGCGCCCGCCCGCCCAACCGGCGGCCCCCCCACCTCCCTGCCCCTCGTCCTTCCCCCAGTCCCCCCTCCTCTCCATGAGGCGCGTGGCCCTTTAGGCTGGGCGCCTCTCCGCACCTGGCTCGGCGCCTCCTCTGCGCCCCCCCATTCACCTCTGCACCTTGCGACGCACCTCCCGTTTGGGACGCGCGGCGCTCACCCGCTGCCCCCTGCACCACTTCGGCGCTTCTCTGCTCTCTGCTGCACCGCTGGACCGCCCATTGGGCCGCACAGCGTCGTTTTTGCCAGGCTCCCGCACCTTTCGGCGATCCCCGCCGCCGCCCCCTCGCGACGCACCTCCCGTTTGGGACGCGCGCCGCTCACTCACTGTCCCCTGCGCAATTTCGGCGCTTCTCTGCCGCGCCACGCTGGACCTTCCATTGGGCCGCCCTGCGTCGCCACCTGGCCCCTGCACCTCTCGGCGCCCCCCGCCGCCGCCCCCTCGCGACGCACCTCCCGTTCGGGACGCGCGTCGCTCACTCACTGTCCCCTGTACAATGCCGGCGCTTCTCTAATGCACCACGCTGGGCCGCCCACTGGGCCGCCCTGCGTTGCTACCCGGCTTCTGCCCCTTTCGGCGCCCCCCTCCTTTCGCGGCAGCCCCGCGCTGCCTCCTCCCGTTGCGTTGCTGTTCCACCCCGCCGCCCGCGGGAGCCTGGGGCGCCTCGCCCGTCGCTTCCTGCCCCGCCTCTCCCGGCCCCCTGGCCACCTGGCGCGCCCCGGGCGGTCACGCCGCAATACCCCTGTCACTGCCAGCCATCTGGCCGCGTTGCCACCTCCTCGCCTGCGCATCTCCCCCCGCTGCGATGCTGTTCCGCCCCGCCGCCCGCGGGCGCCCGGGACGCTTCGCCCGCCGCCTCCTGCCCCACCTCCCCAGGCCCTCTGGCCAACTGGCGCGCCCCGGGCCGCCACAATGCCCCTGTCACTGCCTCTGCTATGCTCCCGCTTCCGCACGGCTCAGTGCCACGCCTATTCCTCGGCGCGCCGCGGTACCTCTGCCGTTCGCGGCGCCCCAGTGCGCCCGCCCGCTAGCCCCAGCTGCCGGCAGCCGCCCCCCCGCCATCCTTGCCACCGTGGTTCGCCACAGCCGCCCACCGCGCTCACGCCCTGGGCGCCCGGCTGCCGCTGCCCCCCCGGCTGCTCATCGTCGAACACTTCAACGTCTGAACGCCCCCTTTTTCCGCTCGGCCGCCCCCCCTCTTTTTGCCCGCCGGCCAATTCGCTAAATAGCGCCCCTATCTAGCTCCTCGCCGGAGCGGGGTTCGCCGCCTCGCCGCTGACGCAGAAGTATTATTCGGAGGCGCGCTCCATAATGGAGGCGAGCTGCATCATGGAAGCGAACATCTTCAAGGCGACGCGCTTCATCAAGGTGCGTTTCACGGAGACGCTCTCCACGGAAGAGCGCCCCAAGGAGCGCGCATCATGACAACGAACTTGACCGACGCGCGTTCCACAGGTGCGCGTCATCGAGGAGGCGTGAATCACTGAGGCGCGTTTCGAGCAAAGCTGCGCGTCGCGGACGCCTGATTCATCGGGGAAGCGTGCTTCACGGATGCGTGCTTCATCGACATGTCCCTCCTTTCCTGGGTGATGACGCATGCAGGGCCATCATCTCCATGGCTTTTCGTACCCGCATTGCTTGGCTGGGGTCGATCTCCAGTCACCGGAGGCCGTCACACCCGCGCGGCAGGGTGCAAACACAACAGGGAGCGTCCGGCCATCGGGCATCCGCTGCGTCTGAAACGCGATTGCGGTCCACACCCAGAACCCAGAGCATCGGGTGATCACGTGCACTATCAACAATGCGACCACAAGTCATCATCAAGTTCATCATGACCGCAGCGTCACCACCAGCAGCAACAGCAGCATCAGCATTGCAGCCGCCATCAGCATCAGCATCAGCAGCAGCATCAGCATCATCATCACAACCATCATAATCAGCATCATAAACAACAGCAGCACCAGCATCGGCATCAGCATCAGCAGTATCATCATCAGCCTCCTCGCCGTTGTCGTCATGATGACCAGCATCAACATCATCAGCATCATCACCACCACCATCAACATCATCAACAACAGCAACATCAACATCAGTAACATCAGAATCAGCATCGCCATGATCGTCAGCATCGTCGTCATCATCAGAAGCATCAGCATCGACATCTGCATCACCAGAACCATCCGCATCAGCATGATCCCTACATCACTCTTCCTCTACATATCCCGAATGAAAAATCCCGTGGTGTCAGACGGAATCCTGACGGATGTCCTTCAAACTTCCGAGAAATTCCTGAAGAATCCTGAGACTGCATTGGGGAAACCCACGGTTACCCTTCGGATGCCGAATGCTCTTCTTGGGAATCCAAATCATTTTCCCATCAATCCCTGCGACATTCCTGAGAAATCCCATCGAATTGCCCACGGGCCCCCAACTCCAGATTCCCCGTGGAATCCGAAGGAACTCGGGAAGCATCCGAAACATGACCTGGGGAGCCCCACAGATCCCTACCGAACCTCGAGCGACGTCCCAAAGAATCCTGGAGAATCCTGCGGGGCTCCGAAGAAGCTCATCAGAAGTCTTAAAGGATCTCCCCAGGAACCCTGAAGTCACTTGGAATCGCAAGATCTCCCTGCGGAGCCCAAGGGAGTCATACTGGATCTTCTCTGGAAACCCAGGGAAGCCCTCAAATAATCCATCAAAGAATCAGAGCCTCAACGTTGAACATCGCGAATGCTCTCCAGAGGGCCTCCAACCCCAATTGCCAGGTTGCCCC